CCCCCCCCCCCCAACTCCGTCCCCTCCGCCCCGCATCCCCGGCCCGGGCGCCCCCACCGGTGGGCCGGGCGAGGAAGACGAAGCGGATCCAGCTGGGCCCCCGCTCCTCCACCGCCAGCAGCGTCAGCGGCCGGCACTGCAGCCCCGTCTCCTCCTGCACCTCCCGCCGCACGGCTTCCGCCACGGTCTCGCGGGGCTCCATGCGGCCGGCCGGCAGGTACCAGCTCCCGTAGCACTCCGCCTTGGCCTCCTGCATCACCAGCACCTCGTCCTGCGCGGGGAGGGGGGGGGGGGGCAGGCGTGTTGGGGGGGAGACAGAGAAGGGATCGTCAACGGGCGGCCCGCGGGCGGCGGGGAGGGGCGGGGCGGGGGGGGCGGCCTCCCCCGCGGACCTTCTCGTTGAGCAGCACCGCCAGCACCACGTAGCAGACGTTCCCCCGCAGGCGCGCCGGCTCCGAGGCGCCCGGGTCGCAGCCTCCCGCCGCGGCCACCGGCCAGCCCTTCCCGCCGAGCAGCGCCTCCAGCTCCTCGGCCGCCATCCCGGGGCCGTTAACGCGCCTGCGCCGCAGCCCCCCCCCCCCCCCCCGCGCCCCCCCCCCCCTTCGAAGAGACAGGCGGGCCGGAGAGCAAAAAAAAATCCTTTATTGGAAGAGGCGGCAGCGGCGGCCCGCAGGGAGAGGAGCGGCCGCCGATGGACAGGCGAGCGGAGCCAGCCGCAGGCAGGGCCGAAGGCGAGGCTGCAGCGGTCCAGGTGCCCCGTCGGTCCTTGGGCGGTCCGGGGGAGAGGCCCCCCTTCCTGAGCCCCGGCTCAACCTGCTGGGCTGCTCCGGCAGCAGCGGGGAAAGAAGAGCAGCTGGCGGGACCCCTGCCCCCCTCCTGGAGCCTAGCGGTCTTGGTCCAGGGGGGGCACCTGCTTCCGGGACCGACTGCGGAGCCCCCGGGAAGAGCTCTGCGGAAAGAAGGAGGCGAGGAGGGTTGGGAAGGAAGAGGCCAGGCCGCCCCCCTCCCCTCCTGGCTGGAGCAAGCGGGTGGGAGCCTGCTTACCTCCTTACCCGGCAGATGCAGCTTCTTCCCCTGCCGGAGGCTTTGGCTCCTGGCCAAGGGCCTGGGAAGAGCAGGGTCCTTGCGGCAGCCCCTGGAGGGGGCAGACAGCTCAGAGTCCGACCAGTAGTCTTCCTCCCCCTCCTCGCTCTCCGGCTGCTGCTGCACGGCTGGCCTGGGCCCTGTGCCAATGCAGACCCAAGGAAGGCTCAGAAAGCAGCAGCAACCTCTCAATCTCTGGGTCCAAAGCACCCCTGACTTGGTAGAAGGGATTTCCCGCCCCCCACTCTCCCCCCAGTAAAATGGGTGGCATAACCTGAACAAACCCCCGCAGGATCCTTTAATCTGGCCTAGAGAAGATACGAAGTACCTTTGAGAGTGCAGCGCAACGAAATTTCATTTTAATGTAATGCCGATTAGTGTACCTTCAAAGTCACAATAAAGTTATTCTAAGTCCTATGCCAAGACACAAAACGCTGAGCTTCAGAAGCGGCTGAATTGCCAGGCTGGGGGCGGAGAGGGTCTACCAGGCCGCCTGAGCCCATGGAGAATTCCCAAAACACTCCCTGGTTTTGTATCTTGCTGCACAATGAAAGTGTCCTTACCGATCGGTCGCCGGCACAGCTGCTGTTCCTCCAGGTAGAGGGGATCTGAATAATGCACCACGGCCGTCTCCGGCATGGAGCGCAAATCCTGCATACTGAAGCTGCGTAAACGACCCGCCAGGGCACCCTGGCCCTGACCGGGAGACAAGAGGGGAAGAGGGGTTTACTGGGGAATCGGGAAAGGTTGCTTCCGGAGTGGGAAGTCAGAGCATTCCAGAGGAGGAAGAGCCCCACCCCCGTCGGCACCCAGGGCCTAATACTTCACCCACAGTAGACGCACGAGAAGCCAGCATGAGCTAGAGGGGAAACTTAGGGGAGACGGTGAGGAAGCACATTAGTTACCCATGTGGTACAAGCTGAAAACGGGGCGGCCCAATTCCACCTAGTTACAGGACTCTCCCAATGGGCAGCACCTCCCCTCCTCAGTCCCCTCTGCCAGGCCCAAGCTTGCCTCCAGACCAGTCCCACCAAGAGATCAGCAGGTTACTTTTGCAGCCACCTGGAGAGCTGCGGTGGCCGCCACGTTGATGCTCCTCTTCCCAAAGCTCACAAGGCTCTCGTAGCCGCGCTCTTTGGCTTGGCAGATGAAGTGGTCAATCTCCTGCAGGAAGTCACACACAATTGACAGCATCAGGGGAAGGGCACCAAGCAGCCACCCCCTCCAGGTTCTCCCCAGGCATCTCCTGGCAACAGGATAAGGAAGTGCTCCTGTCACTCAGCTGCAGGAAAGGGGGCAGGGGGGTGGAGGGCTGGCGCCCCAAAAGCCACTCCCTCCCGTTTCTTGCCACGCACGTTATCACGCCTGAGATCTTCTGCTGCCTGGACCTGTTCCTCCCAAAGGCCGCCTCCCACTCCCACTCCCTCTTGGGCCTTGGTGAAATGCAGGCGGCACGTTCTCAGCTGGCGTAACTGCATGCAGGCCTGCAGCCCTTTAAAGGTGCAGTCAGGAATGCATTTTTCACAGGGAGAAAGGGGGAGGACCATGGGCACCGGCCGTCCACTTGCCAACCCCAGTGGCCTGTGGACAGGAAGATCGTTACCTTTTCTTTGCTGGACAGTGTGGGATGCACAAACTTGCGGTACAACAGGCTGGCGCCCTTTGTGTAAGGAGACAGGAGCCATACCACAAAGGCCATTTTGAGCTCATAGTAGAAGGGAAACCTGCAACCAAACAGACACCCATGGAGCCAGCAGTGCCCGACAGGTTGGCTCAGCTGACTTCTGCAGTGGCTGTCCGGCCAGGTGGCTGTTTTCAGAGGTAAGAAGGGGTTAGAAAGAAGCCCTTCCTGCAAAGCCAGAGATGAGGAGGGAAGGAAAGCAATGCCAGCTCCCCTTTGCTAACCCTGGGAGCAGATTTGCTGTCTGCCAACAGCCCTTTCAGCTAGTATAGTCAGTTCTCGGCCTACCACCACTTGTTCAGGGACTAGTTTCGACGGCATTGAATGAATTGTGGTTAGAATTAGCCATCTCAGCAATCCCCCCAGTCCCGTGATGGTCACCTGGGCACTTGGCAACTGGTTCACACTTATGACCGATTGCAGCATCCCAGAGTTATGTGACCGCCTTTGGCTCCTCGCCTAAATCAGCTGGCAATTAAAGTTGCTGTTTTGGCCCTGGTCCAACCAAGTGACCCCTCCCAAACAAGAAAAGCCAAAGCAAGTTAATAAGCCACAATGTGTCGTCCCCCCCCCCAATCTTCCTAACAAGCAAGGGGGGCTGGGTCAACCCAAGTTTCTTCTAGACCGGCTCAGAACTGGTTAAAATGCCTTCAGCTCTGCTCAGCAGGTTCACTGGCTGCATTGCCACACCACGTTAAGCAAGAACACATTAAGGCTTGGGATTTAAGAGGGTGGTAACCCAATTAACTGTGGCTTATTCAAGCTAAGCTGACTTTCCTCCCCCCACCCACGTTTACTGGAAAAGGTTACTTCAGGTGAACATTGGGAAAACCTTGAAAGGGGAGCACAAAGGGAATGGAAATTGTTTTAAAAGGTGAATGATAGAACTGTCACCGTTTCTGCAAAAAAGGGAAAAAACTGGAACAGGGCAGGTCCAGCCAAACAGGAAACTCCCTAGGAGTCCCAGCCAGAGCCCCGGGGGAGAAAAGGCCGAGCCCCTCCCCAGGGCAGGAGGACGAGGGGTGGGGGGGCTCTGAGCGGCCCCCCAGGCCCAGTCGGGGGTCTCTGGGTGGGTGTGGGTGTGTCTATGAGCCCCCCAGCAGCAGGCACCCACCAGGAAATGAAGGTGTCCGTGATGGTCTCGGTGGCCATGAAGAGGGCGAAGACGATCCAGTACATCATCCACCGCACCTGGGACGGGGAGCCGCGAAAGGAAGGGCCGGTGAGGGGGAGCCGCTGCCCGGCAGGAGGGAAGGGCCACCCCCGCCTCCTCCCCCGCGGGCTCCCCTCACTCACGTACTCCCGGACGTCCTTGTTCCTCACGGCCTTGTACGAGGCGTAGGCCGGGTACAGCGTCCCCAGCAGGAGCCTGTAACGGAAGGGCGGCGTCAGGCAGGCCGGCCAGCCTCGGTAGGCGCCGGCCAGGAGGGCCAGCAGAGCCCGCCGCCCGGAGCGCAGCGTCGCGGCCTTCAGGGACTCCAGCGCCATGGCCGGCGGAGGGAGGAACGGAGGACCGGTTTTCCCGGGAGCCGCGGCTCCTGACCAGCCCCGCCCCGCCCCCCTCGCCCGCCGCGGGACTCACTGCACGGCGCGGCTTAGCGCCCAGGCCACCATCGCCGCCGCTCCAACCGCCCGCGCGCGCTGCCATTGGCCGCCTTTAACCCCGCCCCCGCCGCGGGCGACCAATCGGGGCGGGGCCGCCACCCGGTCTGGTTTCTTCTGTTTTGAATCGGGTCGGCCGGTGGATGGGCGGGGTTTCTAGCGCGAGTCCCTCCGCCCACCTCCTCTCCCCGTCACGTGACCAACTCAGGCTGGGCCCGCGCTTCCGGGACCCACGTTGAGTCTCGCGAGAGCGCCGAGCGGGGTCGCTGGCGGGGCCGGGGGCGTGTCTTGGGGGGGTGGGGTTGAGGACGCCGCGGGTGGGTGCGCGACCCCCGCGCCGTCCCCGAAAGGACCGTTTGGCCCAGGAGGCGCCGAAGCAGGGCTGCTCCCCAACCGGGGCCCCCTTAAGCCTGGAGCGGAGCTGGCTGGGGAACTCTGGGCCCAGGTTGGGGGCCCCTGCTCGGGAGTGGCCCCCAGAAGGGGAACCGGCCGAGGGGTCTCCGGGCAGGCGGGGCTGCAGGGTTAGGGGGGGTCCCGTAACGGGGGGGGGAACCAAGGCCTCCTTCAGTGGGCCAGGAACAGCCCCTCCTGCCCTGGAGGGTCACTCACTGCCTGGACCCCCCGGGAGCCTCCCCGGGCCAGGAGGGGAAGGGACCCCCGTGCAGTTCCTCGGGGCCAAAGTCTCTGATGGAGCCGCTCCGTCCTTGGGCTGCCCCGGGAAGAGATCCGCGCAACTGTGTCCAGCGGGTGTTGCAGGGATTCCTCTGCGGGAGATGCTCCTTCAATTGAGCCGACTGCGAGTTGCACATAACTCGGCAATTCTCAGGGTGCCCATTGCATTGGGGGGCCTGAGCTGGGCCTCCTTGTTCAGCAACCCACGTTACGTCCCCTCCAAACAGGCGGGACTGACGGCGGAGCCTGGCTGCCGTAATGCCCCTGCGGTCCCATGAACAGCTCGCCCTTCTGGCGCTCGCACTCCCAGTTTCCCACAAGCCAGTTTCCCACAAGCAGCAGCAATGGGGACCGGCAGGAAAAGGTCACAAGTCAGTCTGGCAAATCTTCCTGCACTCCTGCCCCGCTGAGCCCCCTCCCCATCCTTTGGCCCCCCTGCACTTGGGCGTAGCTGGTGCGGGGCCTCCCCCAACTCAGCATGTGGCTGCACTGGACCGCCTCCCGCCCCCACATTCCCTTTGGCAATCCCCCCCAACAGCATCCCCCCATCCTTAGCTGGGACCACGTCCCCTTTCACAACCCACATGCTGTGGGATCATGAGAGCCCCTGAGACGGGTGGGATTGTGGTAGCTAAGCAAGGCATCCCTTAAAGGCAATCCCCCAGCCCCATTTGCCATCACAACCCAAAGACCACCTGTCGTACTGTTCACTTAAATGCAAGTACAAAGATGCAACTGAATGTTTAAAAACTAAGCCCTTGTGTCATGGTTTGTCCTCCCCACCGCCCTTGGCATTTTCTCCTGCACTGTGTGCGTCTGGAGTATCCCTATGCATAAAAGTCTTGTGTTTTTCTTTTTTGCTTCACGCAAACTGCTTCATTTCCTGTATTTTCGAAAAGAAAGATCTGGAATGTAAAGAAGAGAGTTCTGTGTGAGAGGAAGGCTTCTCTTTCTCTAGTGCCTCCACTTCTCTCAAGGAGATCCCTCTTCTCGTTCCCCACCCGCGGACAGATGAACGGGTCTATTCACAAGGTGTTTGCTCAGTTGCATAAGCCCACGTCAAGGGGACTTCACTTAAGAGGGGCTTAACCCACGTCAGGAGTTGCCTCACTACTTAATGAAGAGGAAGGCCGGGCCCAACACTGAAAAGCAATCCGGCCTGCCACCGAAAGCCACCCTGAGGGGATTGGATCCTCCTTGGCCCACCTGGCCACAAAATGGAGGCCCAGCCCTTCCGCCTCTCGGTTGGGAGGTGCCTTAGGAGCCCCTCACTCCCTTAGCCAAACTGCGGGGGGGGGGGGAGGGGTTGAGGACATTTTTTTCTACATATCAGTGACTACAGTATTTAAAGTTACATTTATTTCAACCAAATTGCATCATGTGATGTTGATTACACGTAAACAGAGGGAAGGTGGCAGTTTTCAATACACGTTTGCAGCCCTGCAGGAAGGCCAAGAGGGGCTCTCCTTCCTGGGGGTCCCGGCTGAGCTGTGGTGCATGTGCTAAGGAACCGGTTCTGTGTGTAGCACACCAGGGGACACCGACATGCGGGAGAGACCAGGGCGATGGACTCCAGGACGTGCCCAGGCTCAGTGGAGGGAGAGTCGGCTCAGCATCTGCCAGCTCCCCTCATCCTTGGGTCGTCCTGGAGGTGTCGGGGCAGACGGGCTCTGTTTCGGGCAAGCCACTGCTGGGGAAGCCCAGGCGCTGGAAGGGAGGCCCAGGTGAGGCCCCACCTGAAGCGCCCATCCCAAGTTGCAAAACTCACGTCCTCTGAAGACGCCTCACCTGGAGGGCCTGGCAGCCGCCCTCCTCGGCTGGGAGTGGACAGGGAGGTGCCCAGGAGGCGATGCGTCTCCATCAGCCCCTCCATTGGCTGCCCTCGCTCGCTCGGCGAAGAATAAAAAGGGCCCCGTCCCAGCCCCGGGATGTATGCGGGACAGCGCACCATGGGGCCCCTGATCCTGCTCAGCCTGCTCTCTGGAGGCCTGGGTAAGCAAGGGGGGGGCGGGCAGTGGGGCACGGATGGGGAGGGGCACCATCACACGGCCACCCCGGCCTGCCACCTCCGGGCAGAGGGAGATCCAAAAGTGGAGGAAAAGCCTGCCCCTCAGTTAGAAGCCTACGCCTGGGTGACATTTGGGGGCCCCTCCCTCTCCACTGGACCACCTGGGGGGGGCTGTGGGGGGCGGGAATAGGAGGAGCTTAATCTCCTATGAAATGAATGGTGCAACCTTGAGCCAATCAACATCTTTCTACTTAACCTATTTTAGAGAATTGTTACAAAAATAATACATATTTGTCCTGAACCAGAAGGGCAGACTAAAGTTGTTTTTCATGCATTCTGCTTCGTCTGTCCTGACTGCGTATGATCGATAGCAACCTGACCCTCCCCTTCTTCCCTCCCCTTCCCAGTCCTAACCAGCAAGATCCAGAATGAATGTGCCAAGGGGGCAGCCTACTGGTGCAGCAACTTAATGACAGCTATCCAGTGTGGTGCTTTGGATCACTGTGTCCAGGCGGGGTGGAATCAAGCCAGCAACGAGAGCGCCTGGAACAGAAGCAACAAGGTAGGTATTGTGATTTGTTGTTAGCTGTAAAGGTCAGCAGATCTGTTGTTCCAGGCGGCCCAAACGGCACCCGAGAGCCGGAAATGCAGATAAAAACATCTCTGCTATGGAATGAGTAAGGAGGGGCACCTCCCCCCAAAGAGGAAAGGGCCCCCCTAAAAAGATGGAGAATTACTGTATATTCAGTTCAAAGGGATTGGGCTTGTGGCGAGTTCTTTCATTGGCTAGCGTCATTTGACGCCTCTGTGAACCATCAATAGCATCAGTAGGGAGCGTGTGACGTTTCATGGCCTCCCTTCATACCCTCCTATTCATCCTCGTGCTCAGGAGGTGTGTTTCCCACAGGAGAGAGAGTTTGCAAGTGACTGAAGTTTTAGTCTTAAAAGAGGATCCCCGTTCTTGGCAATTTGAACCGGTTCTGATCAGACTCTACATTCCTCACGGAGAGCTCACCTGTTACCTGAAAGACATCTTAATTTACTAGTAACGTTGATCCAAGAGTCCCTCGCCCCACCCCTTCTGCTGTTGCCATCCATGGATACAGGAAGGAGCGTGATGGGGGGACTGGAGCCAGATCCGCAGCCAGGGCCTGATGGGGGGGGCAGGGGGGGGGGGGGGGGGGGACGGGGCCGCGCCCGCGCGCGGGGCCGGGGGGGGGGGGGGGGGGGGGGGGGGGAGCACGAGAGACCTTCTGAAGGGACCCTCCCTAGTTTGCCAGAGACTGAGAGGGGAGAAATAGTCCCGAAGGAGGCTGTGAAGGGAACCTTACAATAGCGATCGCCACGTGGGCGACCTCCAAGGGCTAATGGCATCCGCTGCCCTCCTTGGCTGCCAGGGCGCAGAAGCCGCCGACAGGTTGGGGCGCAGGGAATGCTCCTTGGGGAAGTTGGAGGTTCTGAGGGGGAGTCCCTTTTTCTTCCAGGAGGACATGTGTGCAGACTGCAAACAAGTTCTCTCCATCCTGGTGCGCATGGCCAAGGAATCCGCCTTTCAGGTGACAAAGCCATTCATTCCACTTACCACTCCCACGGCTAGATCGGAACAGCAGAGCTTGAGTGCCTGCTAGTCTTCTCAGGGGTGCCGTTTATTTGTTCTTCTTGCCTCCAGCCGGTACGGGTGCTGAAGAGCCACCTGTCCAGAGCGGTGGAGGGTCTCCTCTTGAGCAGCAGGTTGGACTGGGGGGCTTCCCTTCCGGCTCTGGTCCTGTTCTGCGGTTCCGTTGCATCGGTGCTTTTCTAACTCTGACGCTGTGGGCTGAGCCAGCTGGTCTCCTCTCCCAGGGCCTCTTGCTCAACCCTCTCCATGTAATTCACCTCTTCACAGAAAACCCTCCAGAAGTATTTGGAGGATGAGTGTACCAATTTGCCACTCCAGACACTTATCCCACAGTGCCAGGCCTTGGTCAAGGACTACTATGCCCGTTTAATTGCCAGCCTGGAAAAAAAACTGGTAAGTTGATACTCCTTGCGGATGGGCAGGTGCCTCGATCGCAACCTCTTCTTCCAGCCTCGCAAGGAAAACAGCCTCTGGGCTGGGGAGGATGGGTGGCTTATCTCGAGAGACCCATGGATTAGGCTGGGGGTTCCCGGGATGGCTGGGCAGCCTCTGGAGCTGCCCCGAAAAGGCTTTGTGTGCAAGACTCTTG